CTTTTTCCATGTTTTTATCGGTTGTTAATGTGCTTGTGCGTTCAGGGCGTTCGTCATCTTCAATGTCTTCACGTTGGAAACTCTTATAACACTTGTAAACTCTTGTTTTACTTATAGCAGACTCACTATAGGCCTTTGTTAACATTTCACAGAATTTATTTCATTTTTTAAGCAAAATTGGATACAAATTCTTCGATACATTTCTTTTAACAAACGAAAAATCGCCGAGCTCATAAAACACGTCTAACCTTAGCGGCTGCCACAGACAAAGTAAACAATGAAAACAGCTAAAGTTTTTATCATACTTCGGGGGCATGTATACCAACATAAAGAAAATTTTATGACAACCGGACCCTCCGAACCAGCGAAATTTAACAATTCCCGTTATTTTCTGAACACACCTCGTATCTAAGTTACTTTAGATACTTTTTAAGATACAAGTTACAAAATACTTTTACAAAGTAACTAAGTTAAAGATACTTTCTTTCCAATATAAAAAGTATCTAAGATATAGTATCTTAGATACTTTAAGTATCTAAGTATCTTTTTTTTCAAGATACTTTCAGCTCAAATTGACAGTTCAAGATAAAATAATGGCACAATATATTCTGATCGCACTGTAGTGTCACCCTTAATCTTTTATTGTAGACCCTTAAGATTAAAACCAAAACAGTATGTTTGTTTTGTTGGGGTATTGGTTTTTAGCGGCACAAAGGGTTGAAAAAACACCCCACTTGTCTTTTTTCACGATTCGAGCAGTCGTCATAATAAACCGAGCAAATGTGCGATTAACACGTTTCGTTAAGTACCATTTTAGCGATTAAAGCGCTTTAACACGCAAGCAATCGATATATTCGTAAAAGGCGGTTTCCTGAAAGAGAAATTTAATCAACTACGTTTAATTAATAATGCAAAATGTCAAATGGAAATTCCTACTACACATTTTTATGTTTCGATTTTTAGTGTAGTAGTCTGGCAGTTCAAATAACAAAGCGTTTATCTAATACTTTTTCACAACTCACAAAACAATTAACAGATTTTCAATTAATGAAAAATATTTCGTAGAATCTCCCAAATTAAATCGGTTTCCTGAAAGAGAAAAAATAACGGGCGGCGACGTGAATGGCGGCTCCAAAATGTAATTAACAATCCGAAATGTTAAAACGCAGATAATATTTATATTCGCTCAAACTAAAGGCCACAAGTACATTGTAGGAACCACCATTTGCATACAAAACATTCAAAATATGAAATTTAGTAGTAAAGTGGTGGATTGGCCATATACAATATTTTGTTTTCTTTGTGTTTGTGATAATATTTATATTCGCTCAAACTAAAGGCCACAAGTACATTGTAGGAACCACCATTTGCATACAAAACATTCAAAATATGAAATTTAGTAGTAAAGTGGTGGATTGGCCATATACAATATTTTGTTTTCTTTGTGTTTCCCAAATTTATTTCTACTGCAAAGAGCCTAACTGTAAACTAAATTGTACCTAAGCATTTACATTTTAACACAATTTAAAATTTAAATAAATGTTCTGTATGCCTCATCACTCATCACACATCTGAAAAAGAACATATTAATTACTGTTCGTAATACCAAGCTCCCCATTATATTCGAGTTAATTAATTCATGTTCCAACATACTGATATTTATTATTGCTATAGAATACCAATTATGTTGATAAATAGCTTGACAATTAATTAATTGATTGAGTTATGAAAAATGAGGGCCTTAACATTTAACTGTTCGTTTCGACTGGTAAGAATATCCAGTCGCCTTTACGTGAACACCGAAAAAGTTAAGTAGCTACAGTTCTTAAATACAGGGTGTCACCATCATTGATTACTTTGTTGAAAATTGTTTTTTGATATTGAATAAAACTAAATGAGTTTGACCCACACTTTTATTGTGTTTTGATCTTTCATAATTAAGTAGATATTACAGCTCAGGTTCCAGATTTTTAACCGCAATTAAGTATTTTTTACAACGTTTTAAAGGTTAACCTATATGTTTTAAAATATCTGAGGTAGTAAAAGCAGGCTAAACATATCAGTTCACCAAGTAAATTAAACACATCCAAATCAATCGAATCAAATATAGAATATTGTTAAAAATTAAAAGAAATAATTTTTATAACCATTTATGTAGGTGTTACAAAAATTGATTATATCCTCCGTGAATCTGTTTTTGCTTTAAATTTTATGCAACGGATGGGGCTTTAATCATTTTAAATAAGCAAAAAAACTCTGTTTACGACATTATAGATGCAAGTGAAGGTCAGTTAGAATTTATATGCAGATGAGAGTGTTGCTGTTTTATAATTCAAAAGTTTAAGTTCATTAGTTTGCTATTTAAAAACCTATCCACCGTGAAGTGTAATATCTCAGTAAGTAGATTTTTTTGTATAAATATTTTATGTATGTACAATAATTGTAGGTAGGTACTTATTTTAAAAAAATATTAAGATGTCAAAAGATACAATAACTTATTTTAAATATACAAAGGGGTGTTTTAAAAAAAAACATACGAAATCCTAACCTCCGTGAAGCTATCTTCCGTGAAGCTCTAATATTCAATATTTATGAAAGTTAAGAAACTGAAGAAAATTAATAAACTAAAAAAATTTTAAAAAAAGAATCTGAAGAAATTAAACAAAATGAAAAAGATAAAGAATCTGAAGAAACTAAAGAAAACAAAGAAAATAAACCAATATCTTAGTAAAAGAAATATTTTTAAATTGGTAAAAAAACAATTATGTACCTATATTGATTTTAATTAGGTAATCAAAATCATTGAAGAAACTAAAGAAACTGAAAAACATAAAAAACTGAAAAAACAAAAGAAACTTGACTAACTAAAAAAAATAAAATAAACTAAAGAAACCAAAAAAACTGAAGAAACCTCGGAAGAAACTAAAGAATCTAAGGAAATTTAAAAATCAGAAGAGTTAAAAAACTGAAAAAATTAAGAAACCAAAGAAATTTAAAAAAAAGAATCTTATTTAAAATATACAAAGGGTGTTTTAAAAAACAGAGGAAATCCTAACATCCGTGAAGCTATCTTCCGTGAAGCTCTAATATTCAATATGTATGATTTCTTAAAATTCTTGCATTAGTGTATAACCACTTATGTTATGTTATTACTAGACCTGATGGCTTCCCAAAAACCCCATTCTAGACTAACAGTGAAACAACTAAAAATAAAAAATATTCATTTTTTATTTTTTTATTAAAAACAGTAGCTTTATGCAAAAATGATATAGAAAGAACTGCCTTGTTTTGGCGTTTACTACCATTCCTCCAAAGGATGACAATTTATTACATCCTGTATAAATATACCTGTAGCTACTTAACTTATTCAGTATCTTTCATTCCACTGTTCTTGCGTCGAATTTTTTATATATTGTGAAAAATAACAAAAATTATAACAAATAAAACAATTATCAACTCCAAACAATATAAATTATACACTTTGTCCAGGTTAATTAATTAATTATTAAAATGAAGACATAATGGGTGAAGCTTGCTGCAATATTTAAAAATCGATTTAATAATTATATATTGTTTGTATAGGCATTTAACGAATTAGCAACACTACAATGAAGTATCTTCAACATAGCCATAAAATGTTATGTTTAAGTTGTCTTCTCATTCATCGTATTTAGGTTGCAATAAAGTATGCATCTGGCACATAATTGTGTCGTATCGATTTTAAAATCGTTTTTGAAAAGTGGAACACAATTTACCGAGGAAGCATGTCATCGTTGTCCAATCACGCGAGATTAGGTATCAACCGAAAGTTTTTCATCACGCGGTAAATGGATCGCCTGGTATTATCGAGCACAAATTGAGGTTACGTTTTAGTTATTTAACATTGCATTTTATATAAGTTTAACTACAAGTTTCTTATTATGAAACTGAACTGAAACTTTACTGATCTATTTCAGTGGCGGCTCTGAAGGAACGAACGACTTTTTGTATTTATATTTTTGCCTATTACAAGTGTATTTTTACAACAGTTCTACCCAATAAAAAGTAAAAACCCAATCAATAATATTAAGCGTAAATAAAAATCCAGGCGCAAAGCGCGTCAAGTTAACGTGCATCGTCGCTTAGACAGAGGCGAAATTTTCACAGCCTCGGAAGCTCCCATTTACGTCTTGAAAGCGAAAACGACTCACCAACAAAAATATCGCCGTAAGTTCGCGAATAAACACCGTAGATGAGGCGAAATTTAGTTAGCTTGGTTTGTTCTGATTGGTGGTCCGTTTATGGTGGGATGCCAGCGGAGACAAAGAAGGTTGCCAGTCTTCTCTTAGCGTTTGTAGAGCACGTTATTGTTTTGATTCAGATTAAATTATTTAAAAGTTTTGGCTGATCTTTTATAGTTTTTGTCTCGATTAGTAAAATTTCTTATTTAATTATTGTAGGGAACACACTAAGGTAGATTTAGCAGTTTTTATTAAGCAAATTTTATATTTTGAAATAATAGATTGCATAATTCTTCAATTAGAGACGCGGTTAGAATTACTTTTAAATCTCACTGCTGACCCACAATTTTACGACCAAATAATAGATAAATTTTCAATCTTAAAAGATAGACGTATAGTATTTTATATTTTTTAATACTTAGGTAGGGGTCGACTTTTTAGTTTTATTTTTTGATTAATTTATTTATTTTTAACTTTTTTAAGACTATATTTTAAGTTTAAGATTAAAACTAGTCTTTGATGTGATATTTTGTTTGTTTTGTTTTTTAGACTTTATTTTTTGGTTTAGTAGTGCTATCGGCTCCATTTTAAAAAAGGTCAACGCGTCGGAGAATAATACCTTCCGGGTGACGTGGAAATTTATTCGTATTTAGACAAAATTAACCTTATGTAGCCTCACCCTCCTGTACACCCACGAGCCGCCACTGATCTATTTTATATAAAACGCAATGTTCAAACCGTAAAAACGCTTAATTAACAGCAAAAATCAAAGTTACCAACCTGCTCTGACGTTAACATCCCTGGAGTGCACCGATCCCACGCTGTTTTTGGCCAAACAAGCGTAAACTTGAGCGTGAACTTCCTGTCTGTAATCTTCGGCTCTAAACGGCGGAAAAACTAAGTTGCCATTGGATAGCACCTGTCGTAATCCCGGAACGTCTCCGACGGCCGTACCATCAGATCGCACCTTTAGCGAAGAAAATATTTTAATTGTTTTATGAATTACATTAATTAACGGCATTATTGACATGTGTTTGGATGGTTGCGGATAAATTTTATGAAGAAAGTTACCAAAAAAACTAAAGAAACTGAAGAAACTAAAGGAACTGAAAAATCTAAAGAAACTAAAATACCTATAGAAAATAAAGAAACTAAAAAAACTAATAAAACCGAAGAAACTATAGGAACTGAAAAAACTGAAGAAACTAAGGAAACAAAAGATAAAAAAAACAAACTAAAGAAACCGAATAAACTAAAGAAACTGAACAAACTAAGGCAACTAAAAAACAAAATAAACTAAAGAACCCGAAAAAACTAAAGAAACTGAAGCCACTAAATAAACTGAAAAAAACAAAGAATCTGAAGAAACTAAAGATACTAAAAAACTAAAAAAAGAAGGAAATAAAGAAACTAAAAATAGGTAAAGAAGCTGAAGAAACTAAAAAAATAAAGAAACTAAAGAAACAAATGAAACTAAAGAAGATGAAGCAACTAAGAATCTGAAGAAAATAAAGAACATAAGAAATTTCAAAAAAGGATCTGAAGAAACTAAAGAAGGTGAAGAATCTAAAGAAACTAAAGAAAACATAAAAAATACACTAAAAAACTGAGGATATCGTAATAAAAGAAATATTTTTAAGTAGGTAAAAAACAATTATGTAGCTATATTGATTTTTATTAGTCAAAATCATGGAAGAAATTAAATAAACTGAAGAAACTTAACAAACTGTAAGAAATAAAGAAACTAAAGAAACTGAAGAAACTTAAGAATCTGAAGAAAGTTGAGAAACTGAAGAAAATAAACTAAGGGGATCTTAATAAAAGAAATATTTTTAAATTGGTAAAAAATACAAACTAAAGAAACAGAAGAAGTAAAAAAACTGAGAAAACTAAGTAAACTGAAGAAACAAAAGAAACGAGCAACTAAAATAAGAAACCTAAAAAAATTAAAAAAGAATATGAAGAAACTAAATAAACTGGAGAAGGTAAAAAATCAAAGAAAATAAACTAAAGAAATTGAGTGTATCTTAATAAAAGTTGGTAAAAAACAAGTATATTGATTTTTATTAATCAAAATTATGTAAGAAACTAAATAAACTGAAGAAACTAAAGAACCTGAGGAAACTAAAAAAACTAAAAAAAATTAAGAAAATAAAGAAAACAAACAAAATAAACCAAAGAAACTCTAAAAGAAATATTTTTAAGTTATGTGTTTTGATTTTAATTACTCAAAATCAGGGATGAAATTACAGAAACTCTTTAAAAATAAAGAAACTGAAGAAACTAAAGAAACTGATAAAACTAAGTAAACTGAAGAAACAAAAGAAACTAGCAACTAAAATACAAAATAAACTAAAAAAACTAATGAAGCCGAAGAAACTAAAGAAAATAATTAAACTGAAGAAACTAAAGAATATGAAGAAACTTAAGAATCTGAAGAAACTAAAGAACCTGAGGAAACTAAAGAAACCAAAAAAACTAAAGAAACCGAGGAAGAAACTAAAGAAAACAAACAAAATAATCATAATAATAATAAATTTATTTAGCAAAAATGCTACATAATTTACAAGGATTTAAATTTACAATAATAAAAGATACAATCATAAATAAAAAATTTAAAATAAATAAAAGTAAATAACAATAATTTTAAAGACTAAAGAAACTCTAAAACTCTAAAAGAAATATTTTTAAGTTATGTGTTTTGATTTTTATTACTCAAAATCAGGGATGAAATTACAGAAACTAATGAAAATCAAGAAACTGAAGAAACTAAAGAAACTGAAAATCTAAAAAAACTGAAAATACTTTTACACTAAAAAAACTAAAAAAATTAAAGAAACTGAAGAAACTAAACAAACTGAAAAAATAAAGAAACTGAAGAAACTAACGAAACTGAAGCAACTAAAAAAACTAAAGAATCTGAAGAATCTTAAGAATCTGAAGAAAGTTGAGAAACTGAAGAAAATAAACTAAGGGAATCTTAATAAAAGAAAGAAATTTAAATTGGTAAAAAATACAAACTGAATAAACTAAAGAAACAGAAGAAATTAAAAAAAACTGATAAAACTATGTAAACTGAAGAAACAAAAGAAACGAGCTACTAAAATACAAAATAAACTAAAGAAATTAAAGAATCTGAAGAAACCTAAGGAAGAAAATACTTAAAGAAAATAAACTGAAGAAAGGGTATCTTAATAAAAGAAATATTTTTAAGTTGGTAAAAAAACAATTAAGTATATTGATTTTAATTAGGTAATCCAAATTATGTAAGAAATTAAACAAACTGAAGAAACTAAAGAACCCGAGGAAACTGAAGAAACTAAAGAATCTAAATTATGTAAGAAACTAAACAAAACGAAATAAACTAAAGAACCTGAGGAAACTGAAGAAACTAAAGAATCTGAAGAAAATACTTAAAGAAAATAAACTGAAGAAAGGGTATCTTAATAAAAGAAATATTTTTAAGTTGGTAAAAAAAACAATTAAGTATATTGATTTTAATTAGGTAATCCAAATTATGTAAGAAACTAAACAAACTGAAGAAAATAAAGAACCTGAGGAAACTGAAGAAGCTAAAGAATCTGAAGAAACTAAAGAAACCGAAGCAAATAAAGAAATCTAGGAAGAAACTAAAAGAAATATTTTGACTCGATTTAAATTACTCAAAATCAGGGATTAAATTACAGAAGCTAAAGAAAATCTGAAGAAAAAAAACTGAAAATACTCCAACACTAAAATATCTAAAGAAAATGAAGAAAATAAAGAAACTTAATAAACAGAAGAAACCGGAAGAAACTAAGAAAACTAAAAAAACTGAAGAAACTATATTTATACCTAGTTTAAGACACTAAAGAAAATAAAGAAACCCTGATTGCGACTTGACAATGCAAAAAATGTAAAAATGTAAAAAAGCGGTTGGTATCATCACGCTACTATTATCACATAAACACTGATGGATCTTAGCATTAATATTTTGATGCTTAAGAAAATGTCTCACCCATATGATGTCCGGCTGGGGCTTGCCGCGTGCGCTGCACTCGACCACTGCGCCCGTGGTGTTGGAAAAGTCGACGCGATTGGGCGGCTCGCGTAAGAACACGGGGCCGGAGGTGTCGTCCTCGGCGAGCGCGGTCGCGAGCGCGAGCGCGAACACGAGCGCGGCGCGTATCATTGCGCAGCCGAACTGATGCGTCGTGTGGAGGTGCGCTGGGCGAGCACGAATCACTGCGGGCTTCACGCCAAACCTGCAACAAGAACGTTTACTTAGACGAATCGGGCTTGACCTGGGCCAAAACCCTAAAAATAAACTTAATAATAATGTACACTGAGAAAAAACAATGGTTATTTTAATCGAATATTCTGATTAGTATAGGCACAGTCATATATATTGTTAACCATATTTTTGTTGTTGCACAAAACAATAATTAATTTAGTTATAATAATAAACCTCTATATGGTTAAATATACTATACGTATGATATGTATAAACTTTCTGTATATTTACTATAGTAAAAACTACAACGACATAGGTATTGTTAACAATGTGTGACAGCATTATATTCTTATTGTAACCAGATAATCTTATAATTTTAATCATCTAGTGTAGTATGTAGTAATTTTCATTTGATTTTTCTCAGTGGTAATTTGCCGGTAATTTTACGGTAATTTTGGAAATATTTCAGAAAACAAATAATTATACCTATGGATGGACATTATATAATGAATACATTTTAAAACGTATAATTGGGATTATATATTTTTAGTATTTTTTACATACTTATAAACCATTATAATATTATTATATTTTACCATTATAAAATGGAAAATGTTTATGAAGGTACAATAATTTGATAAAATTAAAAAATAGTTTTCTTTTTTAAAAGTTATATTAACATATAGGCCTGATTTTGACATTTTTTCGATTATTTCCTTTGCGAAAGGATTTAAGACGCTAAGTAATAGTATAACTAACTAACTAACTAATGTCATAAGACGTCATTTTGTCGCACGCGGACAATTTATAAAACGAGCGATGAAGGAGCGAGTTTTGTAATGGACGAGTGCGACAAAAAGTCTTATGACATGAGTTCTTTATGCTAATTTATCTATTTTGCAAAAATTCTGTAAAGAAAATTAATTTAATACCTTAAATTTAATTTGGTCGAATTTTACTTTAGATAGTTGGTATCACAGTCATTGCTTTGACAGTTAATGTCAAAATCGATTCGCCATGCCGTCCTTAATTTACTTATTTACAATAAGCGGCTGTTAATGTAAAAGAAGAAAAATAGTATATTACACTACAAGGGCAGAAAGTGTGAGATTCCTGCACTGCGCGCCATAATGCCCGAGGCGAAGCCGAGGGCATCATGGCGCGCAGTTCAGGGCTCTCACACTTTCTGCCCGTGTAGTGTATACTATTTTTCTTACTACCTCGGCCGAAAATACAACCCGGCCGAAAATACGGGAAAAAATTAAATGTGTATTTATGTACCTATCTCCATTTGAAGAGCTTAATAAATAAATAACAGTAGGCCGTGAATTCAGCGGTGCCAATACAGTAAAAATAAAACGTTGTATTTTAATTAACAAATTACTACTTTATAACAAATAAAAGTACCATTAAACACTTAAAACAACATAAAAAGTAAAAAAGTAAAAACATAAATTGTTTATTTGTTGTTATAATTGCAAAATTATGGTTTAAAACTGTCATATTTTTGTGTTTCTCATGTTGGCAGTACGAAATTTGAATGTTAAGCACACGACTAAAAAATTTTTACTCCCGCTATGTTCTGTGAGTGTGCGCGTATAGCTTGACCAATGCATAAAACGTAAACTTTCTGCCGTGGAATCGGGGACGAAACAACGTATTTTGAGTCGAGGTAGTAAGAAAAAGGATTTTCTTTGGTGTTAAACCAGAAAAGTCTTGTAAATACTAGAAAAATCATAAAAATATTAATTAATTAATTGCTGTTTAAAGTATAGCCAACCTATAAAATCAAAATTTTGGGTGGGATAAAGTATCTCATTACAGCACCGAAAGCGGTGTTATAATGAAGTCATTATGAACGAAAATTAGAATTTTATTATTTCAATTTCAAATTCGTGATCAGCGACCCCAAAAACCCAAAAATTAACATTTTCCGAGCGATAAACTAATTATTTTAAAAAAAAAGTTCGCCATATTTGGTCCGCCATTTTAATTTAATTTAATTTAATATCAAATTCGTGATCAGCGACCCCAAATACTTTAACTTACCAATTTTCACAATATTATATTCACTTTTTGAGTTTTGGCCGAAGAATGAATCGATTCGGAGTGTCCGCCGACACTTTAATTTTTAGGCCACCTAAGTAAACTTTATTAAGTAATATCAACTCAAGCAAGTAAAAAGACAAAACATAATTTTATCTATTTTGCGTTTATAATGACTTATAATACCGCTTTCGGTGCTGTAATGAGATACTTTACCCCACCCAAAATTTTGATTTTATAGGTTGGCTATACTTTAAACAGAATATTATTTTGCATATTGGTTATAATATTTTTATGATTTTTCTAGTACCTATGAGACTTTTCTGGCAATAAATTTTGTTTAACACCAAAGAAAATCCTTTTTTCTTCTTTAACATTAACAGCCGCTTATTGTAAATAAGTAAATTAAGGACGGCATGGCGAACCGATTTTGACATTAACTGTCAAACCAATGACTGTGATACCAACTATCTAAAGTAAAATTCGACCAAATTAAAATATAAGGTATAAAATTAATTTTTTTATAGAATGTTTGCAAAATAGATAAAATAGCATAAAGAACTCATGTCATAAGACTTTATGAAATTAGTTCTTTATAGTTTTAAACGACACTTTTAATTACATGAAGTAAATCCTCCTTAATCGGGATAGTTTGTTTTACTATTCAAATAATGATTTCCCGTTTTTATACATAATTATACATATATGTATGCGCAAATAATATCAACACATAATTAACATACCAAAGGCCTTGGTAATGAAGGGCAAGGCAAAATAATTGGTATCTTGTTACAACAGGTTAAAAATACGAATAACTGTACTGCCGTACTTAGGGAAAAGGCAGTAATGTTCACTTACTGCTTTTTTGAAATTTCAGTACCAATATGTTTTTCTATTGATTTAACGTTTATTCAGTATAAAATATTACATTAATAACTTTATTTCCATAAGAAAGTAGTTTTTTAAATGTGACAAATATTTTGAATTAATTATATTTCCTGAGTATAAAAGCAGTAAATCTATTTCTCAAAGTAAGAAAGCAGTAAAATTCAAACTATACTGCTTTTATCTTCTTAGAGAGATTAGTACTGCTTTTTTACGCTTTATTAAGTGTAATGTGATTATATTATGATCTGTAGTTACCAAGAAAAAAAAACAGTAATCGTCATTTTACTGCTTTTTTCTGTTGAATTATCGACATTTGAATGTCAAATATTGTTGTGAGCGGTGTGCAGTTTTGTTCCGGGCTTTTAAATTAAAAGTCATATTTTTTTAGTTACTAGATAGATTTTGTTGAGGTTCTAATTAGTTTTCATTTTGTTCAAAAAGTTTTCCATGTGATTAAACCTCCGTTTTTTTTCTCGAAAAATGTTTAAATTCACGAAGATTTTATAATTTTTAAAGAAATAATTTAAAAAATAGTCTTTGTTTAATTTTTAATACTGTTTTTTTTTCATTACCTGATAATTCTAAAATTTAAAAAGATTAAATAATTGTTAAATATTTGTATTCATCGTTACATGAATAACAATATAATTGTTATTATATAAATATTAATCGTTTGTAATAGTAAAAAAAATTAATTATATGTGCAAAAATTAGAAAATTACAATCAGTATTTTATATTTTGTGATTCAACGGTGATAAGATAATAATTGTTTTACCTAGTTGTGTTTATTTTTCAATGAATAAAATTTATTAAAAACGAAAACATTTTTTTATTCCGAATTACTGCGCTTTTTTAACAAAATAATTAATATGACAATTAAAAAAAACAACGGAAAAAAGCAGTAATCTTGTTTTACATAGTAAAAAGGCATTAAGTCATATGTTACTGCCTTTTGGTTTACAGCAATAAAAGACAGTACGTCATTTATTTTAGGCCCGCCAATAAATTACTTTTTAAATACACACGCAAATGACTTCTTAGAAAACCATGTAAAATATTATTAGTCATTTATATATAATTGTAGAAGAATAATATTATTAATTTAGTTATAAATTATCTGAAATTTAAATTTTATTTTTCTCCAATTTAGCTTTTTGCACTTTACTGCCTTTTCCCTAAGTACGGCAGTGTAGCACAAGCAACATAAGCAGCCAAGAAGTTCGAATCGATATTAAATTTTTTCTGCGCCGGCCGGAATGAAATCAACCCGACTTCCTTATGCCCAAGAATTCTAAGCAAACAATTCGAAAACGAGTTTTTTCTCCACGAGTTATTAATAGATTCCCCACGCGCGGTTATTACAAATTAAGATAGAGCCCGCATGCACGTAGCTTGAAACAATGCACTTTCAATTGTCTGAGGTTATTTTAAAGTTTAATTGGTATCAATGGGATAGCAGTGCCTGACGATTGAAAGGTCTCAATACTAAATGGTGTCGTAAATTAATTGGGAGAAGCAGACCCCCAAACTGTTTCAATTGAACAATTGGGTGCACAATTGTTGTGGCAAGTTTAAAGAAAAATTTTTTTTGGGATTTTATTTGTTAATTATTTTTTAAGGTTGCACAATAGTTCCCTTTGCATTAAAAACTAAAAAGAAGAAACGTTTTAAAAATAAAAATTGTAGGTAAAACTATAAATTTATTAACTTAAATACAGGAACCCCCAAAATTTTCGGTGTTTAGTTTTCCAAATTGTCCTTTTAATGGCATTCCAATGAAGCTTTTTTATTTTCCAGGACACACGAGTGGCCACTACGCTATGAAGAAATTAAAAATTGACATTAAGTTTAGTTAAAAAAATATACAGATAAATATCCGGCCCTAAACTAAAACATTTATTCTGCATAGGTAACTAATACATAAAACCAAACAAAACAAAAAATTAATTCGTTCAGGTTAGCGTGACATTACAGGCACATTAAAATGGCGTTTATTTCCTGTGGTGACCATATCCCATTACATAAAATTGTATGAAGCTCTATACATGTTCATACCTATGTCGTTTTCATGGCAGTAGTTTAACAGGTCTTTTTAC